CATCCCCTATTCCCAATTCCTTTGCCTCCGCCGCATCTGCTCCGAGGATGAGGCATTCCACTCCCGTACATCTCAGATGTCCTCGTTTTTCAAGGACCGCAACTTCCTCCCCTCAGTGGTCAAGAACGCCCTCGATCGTGTCTCCCGCATTTCCCGCAACTCATCCCTCACACCCCGTCCACGCAATAACAACCAAAAAAGAATCCCCCTCGTCCTCACGTACCACCCCACCACCCTCCGGATCCAACATCCTCCGACACTTCCGCCATCTGCAATCCGACCCCACCACCAAAGACATTTTTCCCTCCCCACCCTTATCTGCTTTCCGGAGGGACCACTCTCTCCATGACTCCCTTGTCCGCTCCACACTCCCCTCCAGCCCCACCACACCTGGCACTTTTCCCTGCAACCGCAGGAAGTGCTACACCTGCCCCCACACCTCCTCCCTCACCCCCATCCCAGGCCCCAAGAAGACTTTCCACATCAAGCAGATGTTCACTTGCACATCTGCTAATGTGGTATACTGCATCCGCTGTACCCGTTGTGGCGTCTTCTACATCGGGGAAACCAAGCGGAGGCTCGGGGACCGCTTTGCAGAACACCTACGCTCGGTTCGCAATAAACAACTGCACCTCCCAGTCGCGAACCATTTCAACTCCCCCTCCCATTCCTCAGACGACATGTCCATCCTGGGCCTCCTGCAGTGCCACAACGATGCCACCCAAAGGTTGCAGGAACAGCAACTCATATTCCGCTTGGGAACCCTGCAGCCCAATGGTATCAATGTGGATTTCACAAGCTTCAAGATTTCCCCTCCCCCTACCGCACCCCAAAACCAGCCCAGCTCGTCCGCGCGTCCCTAACCTGTTCTTCCTCCCACCTATCCCCTCCTCCCACCTAAAGCCGCGCCCCATCTCCTACCTACTAACCTCATCCCGCCCCCTTGACCTGTCCATCCTCCCTGGACTGACCTATCTCCTCCCTACCTCCCCACCCACACTCACCTTTACTGGCTACATCCCCGCCTCTTCGACCTGTCTGTTTCCTCTCCACCTATCCTCTCCTCTATCCATTTTTTATCCGCCTCCCTCTCTCTCCCTATTTATTTCAGAACCCCCTTCCCCTCCCCCATTTCTGATGAAGGGTCTAGGCCCGAAACGTCAGCCTTCCTGCTCCTCTGATGCTGCTTGGCCTGCTGTGTTCATCCAGCTCTGCACCTTGTGGTCTCAGATTCTCCAGAATCTGCAGTTCCTACTATCTCGGAAACGTTATCTCTGATTTTTCTTCACAGATGCTGCCAGACCTGCCGATCTTTTCCAGCAATTTCTGTTTCAGTTCCTGTTTTACAGCATCCACAGTTCATTCGGTTTTTATCACAAGTATCTCACTTGACATCCATACATGAGCACTCCCAATGCAGGTTTCTGGTTAGCAATCATTTAATTAAAACACTAGTTGGCTCTTCCCTCATTAGTTTGAAGTAAGTGAAACTCACTGTGCTTCATTCCTATTGCTGTTTCACTCGAGATGGATTAAGAGGCCAAAACTCAATGAATGTAGATCCTATATGATCCTTGTGGATGAGCCACTCACCAGGTAAAAATCACTAAATCTCAGGTAGCCCACTTAACCGTTGCACAATACACAAACTATTTGAAGAGATTCAGGAGAAGAGCAAACAACTAAACTGTTTATCTAATTGCTACATTCATTATAATGCACTCTTGGGAAATCAGTCCTCGTGAAATTTAGTTTTATGATTATAAAACTATTGAACATTTTTATAAAACAACTTACTGTCTTAAAATGTGTTAAATGTTCAGTATTAAAATGACAAGGCAGCACAGAAATTCACAAAAACTCAGCTACTAAACCAATTACTGCTTGCATAATGCCATATTAAAGTGGATCAGCGAGAATCTGACCTACTTTAGCACACAAAAGCAAGCAGTCACTCTAATCTGAATCCAGTGCAAAAGTAGTGGACTGGTTTTTCTTTTATTTCTCTGCATTAATATCTTTCATTCTAACCTTCTGGAAAACAGGGTTCTATAATAATTTACGTTACGATCCTATTGGTGATTCAGTGTCAACATTATTCTGTGTACAACCACTACCTAGCGTCCAATTCCCCAACCCTAACTGTGAGACATTCAGCAACAGAATAAACACTAGCAAGCTCGGAAGAGCTGGGAACTGGTGCTTTACACATAGGGCCAATGTATTTTGAATAATACTTAATCATTGAAACTAAAAATAATGTTCCAGTAAAAGTTGATTCAGTGGCACTCTCTCATCTCTCAAGTCAGAAGGCCACGAGTTAAAGCCTCACTCCAGAATTTCATCACATCTGAGTTGCCACTTCAGTGCATTACTGAAATAGCAAATAATTATGAGAAGTGTGTTAAATTAAACAGATTGTTTATAAAGGAAGTAGGGCCTTTAATGTAAGATGTCCCAAGGTTTTGTTTAGGAATGTTATAAACTAAAATTTGACATGCCACAAGGGAATATTATGATTTACAATCAAAATTTGATGAAAGCGGTAGGATTTAAGGAAGTCTTAAAAGTGTGATAAAGGTGTATAATATTCTCATTATTTGGGAAGCTGCATTTTTAAAGTAGAAGTAAATACATTTTGCTTTCAGTTCTATGGAAGTTTTTTTAAAAATGTGATCAGAAAGTCATTTGGAACACTGAAGTAAATATATCATTTCTAAGGAAATGTGAGATTTCAGTGCCCAGCAGGATACCTATGGTGTTAACTTACAAAGGTGTTTATGAAGTGGAAATTTTATGACATACAGAGAAAACAGACCATCAGCCGCTAGTTTTCCAGTTCAGTTCAGAAGAACAATTTCACCCTACTGAAAGGGTTTTGAAAACTCTACACTGTGAGAGTTTAGGAAGAAGTTTCCACGTTGTCAAAACTTAGAAGGAATTTGGGCCTATGGAGTTAGGAGGAAGCCTGGACACCATCAAAAGTGGAAAGTGTCAGTTAAGTAAGAAAGTACAGAGTTAAAAATAGAAGTGATACTTCACTGGGCTTGACAATCTAGAAAGAATATTGCTGGGAAAAAGATTGGATTGTTCTTTTTGCTGTTGATGATAAAAATTTTTCTAAACTGTCATTTGTATAGCTTTAGAGAAAGTAGGAACTGCAGATGCTGGAGAATCTGAGATAACAAGGTGTAGAGCTGGATGAACACAGCAGGCCAAGCAGCATCAGAGGAACAGGAAGGCTGATGTTTCAGGCCTAGACCCTTAGCTTTTTTTTTCTTTTGTGCAATAAACTTTGATCAGATCTATTTTGTTAATGTGTTAAGGGCAGAAATCTGACTCAATGGTTTCACATATGGTGTTCCTGGAGAGATGAGCATATTCAAGAATGGTGGAGAAAGCTGGAAATTTAAAAGGACAGAGGGATCAAGATTTGTTCCTTTTTGAAAAAAAAAATCAGACTAAAGTCTTATTTATCTTTTAAGTGAGTGCAAAATATCCCATGAATGACTGCTAAAGGAACAAGGGAGTTCTGTCCTGGCTAACACTGATCCCTTAAATACTACTGCCAAAGCAGATTAACTGGTCATTTATATCGGTTTGCTGCACTTGTTGAGCACAAAGTGATTACCATGCTTGCTAGCCATGAAATTGTAAATGCTTAAAGGCATTTTGATGATGTTAAAAATGCGATATAAATTCAAAGCTTTTTCCTTTGCTTCTACATCTTTTAGGATAAGATGCAAGAAATTCAATGTTACATCAGTTATAATTTTTAAATTTTTCATCCCCATCCACACACTGAGCTTCCTTCTCTTCCCTTCGTACTCTAGGGATTTGTCCCGTGTCCCCTCTCCCATCGTTGAAGCCCAGTTCAAAACAGTGTGCGCTTCCCTGCACTTGTGCAGTAATGCTTGCACACGAGGTCACACAAAGTCAGCACTTGGAACGTGCATTGTCCAATTTTTAAATTTTCTACAGGCAAGCATTATTCACCAGATGAGAACGGATTTTATTGAACTGAATTAGTTTTATTATCGCATCTACGCCAATGAGTAAAGTGAAAAGTTTACAAGTCGTCATATGGCACCATCTTAAGTACAAGGTACCTAGGTAGAGACTCTTCAGTACAGGTTTTTAGGAGAAAAAAAATGAGAAAAATAAAGAAATAAAAAGTCCAGCATTACAGATCATAGGAATAAATTAGAAAATAGAAAGATTAAAAAAATTCAGAACAACAGTCCTTTCAACCCAGTCCGCACCAGCACCTCGCCTCCAGTCCATGCTGGGTCTCTACCCCAGACTGTGCCGGGCTTCACTTTAAGGCTCTCGAGGCTGGGAGACCACTCTAGAATAATCTTGAGGCCAGAAGTCTATGCTGAGGACCCGCCGGGCTGAAAGGCCACCATGGGCCACCGAAAGACTACCACACTAGCTGAGAGATCTCTACGCCAGGCTACCGAGATGCTGCCACGCCCAGCCGAGCCAAGTGGACACCTTGCTAAGTCTGCGCTGAGGCCCGGAGTTCAGGACGTCGCCAAGAAGAAAGGAGAGAACAGAAAATAAAACACAAGAGAAAAAGAAAGAAGAAAAAGCAAAGGACGGAGCAGACAAGCTCCAGCTGAAGTGTCCTATTCCGTTGCCCTCTAGGACTCTTGGCAGTTTTGGCATGGCAGCAGCAGCTAAGCCAAAGTCTCCAAGGGCATCGACACTGTTGTTGCTGTTCCTGGAGCGACTCTCCTCAAGTACTGGAACACCTTCCAGACACCTTACAGAAGCCCTGAAGCCATGCTTAAGACCCCAATTAGGACAGAAGATAAACTCTTATTTAAGTAATTTCTTCTTATCCTTATTATAAACACAAAATGGTGCTGGATTTAGTTCAGATATAGCTGGAAAATTGAGTAGTTTATAAAAACAGAAAGTGCTGGAGAAACTCAGCAGATCTGGCAGGCACTATGGAGAGTGAAACAGAGTTAATATTTCAAATCTGTTATGACTTTTCTTCAAAACTCTGTTCTTTCTTAGTTCAGATCTCCAGCACTTTATTTTTAACTCGCATGGTATATTTGACCAGTAAATTACTGCTGAGTATTCTCAGATATTTCAGGTTTATTGGCTATCAAACTTTAATATTGGTGCTCCCCAAATGGCTTAGCTAGTTAAATCAATAGGACATTGAACCATAAACATGCGAAAGACTTCAAGATCAGTCTTATTTCTGCATTAATTCATTATGGAGGTAGAATGCAGCTATAGATTGAAAGTCGAGAAATTGATTGAGAAATCGGCAGTGCCCCCAGATTATGGGGACGAAAGCCAGTCAGTCAGTTACCTACAGAATTTTAACAGGCTTGTCAGCGAAGACCATCAGTCATCCATTTGAATTCAGTGGCTGCTGTGAGTTTCTTTGCAGTGCAAGCAGCAAAAAGGCTCCCAAACTAATCAGGCTAACAAATTCTCACTGAGGCACACAAACTGGAATGCAGGCAGTAAATAACAGTGAAAAGTTACATATAAATCATTGTAAAATAAGTGAAAAAATGATTGGCACATCCCCCAAATGGAATTAAGGGAAAGAAGAAAAAGTAAAACAAGAATAATATTAAAACAGGCTGACGTTTCGGGCCTAGACCCTTCATCAGAAAAGGGGGAGGGG